CTTAACGACTGAGCCACCCAGGCGCCCTCCACACACAAGTTAATCTTTAATACTCTTCAAGTAAGAACAGCTTTCAGGATGTCCAATTAAAGCATCTGCACACAGGGGTGCCTGGGAGGCTCAGTTGGGTGAGCATCCGACTTTTGATTTCAGCTCAGGTCATGATCTCAGGGTCGTGAGATCGAGCCCCACATCGGGCTTGGGATTCTCTCTCTCTCCCTCTCCTTCTGCCCCTCCCCCTGCTAACTCGTGTGCGTGCACTCACGCACTAAGTAAATAAATAAAATCTTTAAAAATAAATAAGTAAAGCATCTGTGCATAAATGTATGAGTCACAAAAGAGCTCCTCGGTTCACTCAGGATCTAGCGATTCATTTTATACTATTATCTTTCTCCTGGCCCACAGCAGATTAAAAGCAACAAATCAGAAGAAAGAAGATTAGGGCAGGGGATGCCACTGATAGCTGCTAGGAGGGGAGACACAATGACCAGAGTCTGACCACAGAAGCAAAGGAAAAAACCCTCCCCCCAACACACAGACACAAAAACACAAAAGCAGAAAGGAGAGTAGTAACAAGAGAAGAGTGAAGAGTCAAGTGGCTCTCCATACTCCGTAATCCCTGAGAACACTGCTGTATGACTGCACACCACAAAGAGTGAAGGAGAAGCAAACACTGGGCTTGGGCCTCTGCCATTTACTATTCGATGATGATTCCCATCTGTGCAACCTCTCAGGCTCCATTTTCTCAGCTGAACCTTTACACTGCAAAGTTTTGTAACATGAGAACTCTTTACAAATTATCAAGAGATTCACCTTAAGTTACAAAAAGAGCTCTACGTATAGGGGTTCCTGTAACATTATGGTCCTACTAAGGGCTGTGAATCAAAGAAAAGGCTACATTGCATTTCATATATTCTGTGATTATCAAAGTTTGCAATGACCTGCCGTAGCCACAATCACCCTCATTTACGTCAGAGAAAGACTGCCATCAAAAAATACCTTACGTTCTGAAAAGATTCAGTTCTTGTTATTAAGAAAAGTTGAGCCATGTGAAACTATTCAATCTCCAAAGGTAATATATAACCATATGATGAGTGAAGCATAACTTTGTTTCAAGTCTTTCTGGGTTCTAAATTACATAACCAACCTTCCGTTTCCTATTTAGTAGCAGTTAGTAGATAGAAACAAGTGGAACAGGGAATGCTTACTGAGCACTCACTATGTCCCTGGGGCTATCCTGAACACTACAGAGACGGACTCAAATTACACCCACAATCTGAAGACCCATCACTTGTAAACCTAAGAGTCTCTTTCCTTGATGTCTGCAGGAACCTTGGTGCCTCCTCTTGCATCAGCTTTCAAACCTCAAACCATTCTGACTTTACTCTAAACCCAACTTTGTGTTATGGAAGAAAAGACTGTCGGATCTTCGACCATTCTGGGTCCATGGATAACCCTCAAATTTCTTACTCTTCCTTTAGAAACAAAGCATTTGCCTCCACGGTTGCTACACAGACGTTACGAGACCCAGACAGTGAGAGAGCCCACCTCAAGAGCGCCTGCTGGCCTCGGCCCTACACCGCCTCCTCTCCCTTCTGTAGCCCTCACCTGTTCTCCCACAGGGCCATCAGGAACCAAATGCACTGGCTGTTCATTCTCCAAGTTCCGAGTACTTGGGTCTGCTCCCTTCCTCATCAATAGTCGAACTGCATCCAACTGTGTCACCCGATACTGAAGGCTGGCAGCAACATGGAGGGCAGTGTTTCCATTGTAAGCCTACAGACAGAGATAAAATGGCACCTCTCAGAAAGGGAGATTTTCATGAAAGCAGCTCAAAAGCCTGAAGAAGTTATAATAAAGGTCATTCCGAGTCTAATGAAGTTGCGGAAGCTTTCTAGAAGTACCTTTGCATTCACAAAAGACAGGCAACTGGGCAGCTCCAAAAAAAGGCGAATGAGTTCCAGATTTGCTTCTTCCGCTGCCAAATGCAAGGCTGTGCGACCACTTTTACGATCCTTAACAAAGGCAAGAGAGGGAAACAATGAACATCCAGACACGACTTTTGGATATGCTTTTCACCCAGGCTCACAAATGTCTGACTCACTCTTGGAGACTCACTGTGAATGCGCGCATCTCCACAAAGTCTTCCTTCATCCCAGACTAAATGAACTGTCTTATTCCTCCAAAATTCCCCATCAATTTCCTATATACCTCCTATCACAGTCTGCTCTTATACACAGGGTGGCCACAAAGTGTAGAGACATAAACAATACTATTTTACCATATACTGTAATACAAGACAATAAAACATTTACTATGTATTCGCCTGCGTTTCCAGACTCGGTGGCCACCCTGTAGACAAAATTAGCTGCATCTCTCACCTCTTCTGCTTGCCAAGGTCTGGGAAGTAGCTTATGGTTTAAGCATTCTTCCCCCAGAGCTCCCAACTCAGTGCCTTGTACATAAGAGATACTCAGTAAATAAACCTCAAATTTAAAGAGAATAAAATATTTTCCAGTTTAAAAAACAGCTTAAGTGCAGATCCCACAATGATGGAACAACCCTTACAAAAAAGCACTACTCTTATTATTAGTATATGAAAATAGAAGCCAAAATCACAATATCAATTTCAAGGATTTTCTCTTCCTTCCAAACAAAGATTAGTTTATTTCACAGCTCAATGATCTTTTGAATAACAATGCACAAATTAAAAGCAAATTAAGAAAGCTGATGATTTTAAAAGCTAAGCTTCTTAATTATCCATGCATTGCTACCTACTCCATTAATTTAAGAAGAGGAAAAAAAGTTTTCGTTTATACTTGGGAATGAGGTCTTTTGCTACAAACACTTTTCTTCCCTATCCCATCTCCAAACTCTTCTGAGAATTTACCTTGGCTTCCACTGCTGCTCCCATCTGAATCAGACATTTAATGGTGTCAACCAGACTCTTGTTCTTCAGTAGAAGCTCCTGAACTTCAGGTGAATGGGGCTGTTGATTTCTCTGAAGTTCATGCACTACAGCATTGTGGGCCACAACTGCACAGTGGAGGGGAGTCAGGCCTAAAAGAATATAATAAAGCAGTGGTCAAGCTTCCATCAGGCGTTTAGTTGCTCCACAAGGACAGACCTTGAGGACAGTCTCTAACACGACCTACAGATGGGCCCCACAAGAACCAGTAAGGCCATCTGAACATTCCCTCCATTGGTGCTAGTGCTTACTTTATCCATAGTGCTAACTTTATCTATAAACTATTTTAGCTTTAATTACCTCCCTTCTTTCTTGGTATAAAACTTAATACCCTTAGAATTGATGGGTCCCACTCTCTAAATGGTTTTTCATCCAATAAAATTTCTGTTGCTTACCGTCATAGTTAGTCGCCTCAAGATCCAAAAACTGATTGCTCTTCACTGCTCCCTTCTGAATTGCCTGCAAAATTTAAAAAGATACACTTTAGTGAAAGACAAGTTACACAAATACTTATTTACTAGTAGTCCCAAGAAACGAGTAAGTCAACTCAAGATAGATTATTGCAACAGGCAACCTGCATCTGACTTCTAATATCCAAGCCCTATCTCTTTGGCCCTGTGATAGCAGAAGCCAGCTCACTGCCTCTTACCTGGAGCACCTGGGAGTGCCCTTTCTCAGCACAGACGTGCAGAGGGGTTCTTCCCCAGCAGTCGGTGGTGTTCACCTGGGCCCCAAGGTTCACCAGATCCTGCACAATGAGATGCTGATTGGCGGCCACTGCCACCTGAAAGGCGCTCTGTGGACATTCAGAGAGAAAAAGGATTTTGTTGACATATGTAACACTACCCTAACACGGAATATGAACATAAACTAAGACTGAGGGGAAAACCCCACATAGAGAAAAGAAATCCTATTAGTAAGCAGTAAGGTACTGTAACACAAGGAAATGAAAATAAGCTTAGGGTGTGGCTTTATTATACCCAGTTAGTCTTTGGTCAAATAACTACAAAGTTAACGTTAATAACTTCAAGGCTGATGGTGGCAAAGAGTCAACATCTCAAAGTTAATATTAACTAAACTCTTGGTCTGGAGCTCTAAAATGATCTACACATAAATATGAAACTGGTCATCGTCCTCTTTCCACATCTCTGTCAGTTCATTCTGACAAGATCCTCACCTGTCCATTGTGCTCTTTAATATCCAACATGTGAAGCGCATTCATTTTTCTTGCAAGGACATAGGAAAGTGCCCTTCTCCCTTGGGCAACAGCAATATGGAGGAACCTGGGAAATAAGAAGAGAAAGAGGTGAATTATCTCTGACTTCACTAACTTCATCTTTAAAAATTAAAAAATTCTCTAGCCCCTTTCTTGATATGCTGGTGCACTCAAAAGAAATATTACAGACAATAATTTGTCTTTTCTGCTGGGTTGATAACACATTTGAGTCACAACAAGACATGTTAAGCTACCAGAAACAATAAGATGAATGACAAGCACCATGCTGATCACTTTAAATCTATTATTTTTAATATTCCTAAAAACCCTAAGAGGGAGGTCTTTTCATTTTGCATGTCAAGAAACTCGGGCATAGAGAGGTTAAATAACTTGCCCATGACCACAAAGATGTCATGACAGATTAAGATTCAATCTACAAGTCAACTCACAGTTGATCATTGACCAACTAATCGTGATCTGTTTTTGCTCTACAGACTCAATCTACGCTGGTCTTTCAAAACCAAGTATTCAAAGAAGGCACGGACATTTTTATTAATTTAGAACAGGTAACCTGGTCAGACAGAAAAAATAAGGAAAACTCTTGAAATATTCACTTCATTGAACAGCAATTTCTACCTACACTAGTTGTCCTGATTAGCCACTTACTAAGGTCTAACTTGATATACCCCAGAGAAATTCTGTGCCCACTACATCTAACAAGTGTGGTTTACCAAATCAGCTACAGAAAAGGATACTCACGTGTCACCATCTGTATCCTTTGAAAGAAACTGGTCTTGGGAGATATTTGCCAATTTGCTTTCTTCTTGCTCTACCTGCCACTGAAAAAATGACTTCCCTAACTGTGTGGTGTTCACTGGATTTCCGATGATGTTCGGGAATGGCAGTGAGGTGCTTAAAGGGGTGGAGCCTGCATCATGGCCCACCATAGCCTCACAGGCACTGGGCGGCATCATGTTGAAGCTCTGCAGCTGGGACTCATTTTGCTGCTGAACGTTGTGGGAGTTCTGAATGGGACCAGCAATATTCTCAGATGCCTGACTATTTAGAAAGGATGCAAAACTTTGATCTGGGCAGAACTGTGGGTCTTGGCCATCAAAGAGGTTTGGTTCATAGCTGGGGGACTGGGAAGTTCTGGAATAAGGACTGTATTCCAGAGCTGGGGTGTGGGTGTAGTGCTGTGGTGGTGGCGGGGGGTGCTGCAGGTTCTGGCTCTGGGGCGAATACTGGTACAGGGCCGCCTGATCCATCAGGTGTGCGGAGCTGCTGACTTGGAAGGGTTGGTACTTCTGCGGTGGAGAGAAGATCTGCCCTCTGTGGAAGTCCTGACACTGTTCTCGGGGGGAGCCCTGCGGGACCACCCCAGGGCTCATCCAGCTAACTTGGACAGTATTTAGGGAAACCGGGCTGCACTCATTCTTAATGTTGATTATGTTCTGAAGCAGATCGGCACTGCTGTCCTGTTTGGATTCACTGTGCTGAACATCTTCCATGCTCTCTGCAGGTGTTGGTGTTTGAGGCGGTGTCTGGAGAAGAAGAAAAAAGTAAGTGGCATGCGCTCTTTCAAAACTATTCCAGGAAAGATTTCCAAAGCGTATTCAGAGGAAAATAGTGAGGTACTTACCAAAAACTGGGTATGTAATAAAGCTGGCCTTTTGCAAGCTGGTCCATCAGACAACGAATCAGGTCCTTTCCTTTTCCCACTATATGGTACTGTGTTCTTCAATTCTATACCCCAGAAAGGAATATGGAATCTGTGATCACCTTATTTTCTAAATTTTACCCATAATCACACTACATTATTTTACTCTAAAGCCCCCATAATATGAATAGAAGGAATTCTTACCTGTGAATTGCTCTCTGTTCACACTTTCCGTCTATAAGGAAAAAAAGTTTCCAATTTAATGCATATCAAATGGTTTCCTATTTAATGAACATCAATAAAACAGACTTATCTCTACCATTCTTTACAGCTCACCATAAATCTTTGATAGTTATCCTAGCAATATTTATTTTCTATCTTAACTTTTATTCTATCTTGCAACTTTCCCCATGTTCACTTTCATCTTAGTTCAACTAAGTCAAGACAAAATATGTAAGGCCATTTGAGTTTTCCCTTTCTAGTCAAGCTCTTCCATTTCAACTGAACCCCATGAATTCCTTGCCTCCAACTTGCCTTCATTTATTCATTCCCTCATTAGATTTCCTTTGTGCGCCTAGTACCGGGCTAAGTGATAGAAATACAACAGACAGAGACCAATATGCCCTCCATCCTATGACTTTGTCATGTGGTCTACAAAGACCAACTGGACCTAGGTCAACAGAGAATAATAAATATCCTGACAGAATAACCTCCCTGCCCTGACCCAAAACAAAAACTAGGTGCCACCTTAAAATCATCCACAGTTTGGCCAGAAGCCTTCTGTTTATGACTTCGGATATGCAGGAGTAGTTCCTTCACCGAGTTCTTCACACGAACACCTTGAAAGGGTCCTCTCTGCTGCCTTCCAACCCCCATATGGGGTTCGACTGTTCAAAAGAAAACAAAACATATCCCAGTTAAATCTCTTTACAGGCACAAATCTTGATAATCTCAAAAGCATAGCTCTCTAATGTATGAAGCCCCCAACCAACAGACTGCAAAGCCTTTCCAACTCACTCTGGTCAACGGTCAGCCCCCAGCCCTACTTAAGGATTCTTCATTTCCTAATACTTTTCTTCACCAGACACCCTAAGAAAGCTCATAAAGCTGTGGTTTTGGGGGCCCCCAGAGCCAACAGATAAACCCAAATTAAGCCTCTTTGTCTTTCAGCCCTATCCATCCAAAAGACACTGTCACAGATTTTGCCACCCTCTCATAAATCTGTAATTATTCTTGACTTTTTAAAAAACCTTGAGGGAACAAGCAATAAATGATGGATTTTTAGGTTTTTCAAAACAGAGGCTTTATGTCCACACAGAAACTTAAAGTCTATTAATTCCACTAACCTAAGAAAGCACAACACAAACTTCCTCCAAAGATTTCAATGTGCTAAAGCCTAACAATCAATGATGTCTTAGATTTGTTTCTTATTATTTCCCTCCGTTCAGCTATGCCAAGAAAGCTGCTTAAATTCACTAAGCTTAAACACATTTCGACATACACACACATGATTTCCCCTCACCAATGGTTTTTGGAATTGCTCACCTAGGCTTTCTAAGTAGAAAGGAAATAATCTCATTTCAATTTAAATTTTAAAATACACTTTAAAATGTAGTCTATGTTTACAGCTTCTGACCGCTACTATGTCACAACCTCTTGGGATGAGCCGAACACAAAGTAAACACGCAGAAAGTCAGGAAATGAATAATTGAGACTCTCACTTGAGAGTGGGGAAAAAAGTAAGAAGATGGGACAAGAAACAAAGCCTAATTTGAAGATACACAGATATAGATATATCATAAGCATATGAGAGGAAACAATTCTATGATGGAGTAAATTAAATGACCAGTTGATTTTATGTTTAAATTTAGGAAAATCTTGCCAGAAACTAATACAGCATTTCTCTGGAATGACAGCAGTTAATTCAACGTCACAGGGAGAAAAATTCAGTTTCAGAAATCCCCTATGTCTATGTGGTAAACCAAAGAACTAGCAAAACTGTTTCAGCCAGATGAAGACCAAATGTGAAAGAAAAATTTCTAATACACACACACAGTTTTTTGCATCTGCTACACATTTAACATACAGGGAACACCTTATAAAATAAGGGACTTAAATTACTTTTTAAGTGAAAATGAAAAATCACTCTTTAAAATAAAAAACAACTGAAACAAAAGTGGCTAGCAGGAGGGAACACCTAAAAGATTCGTTCTTTAAAATCATGCTGATTAAACTTTCCAGTATGTGAGATTATCTAGAGGTTCTTTAGTCTACCCACAGTGCCAATCCTGTTTTCCCTCAAGTTATGCAACTTGGCTTATTAAGAAAAGAAACTAACCAATTCATAGCAGAAGAACGGAAACATTATGCCTTTAAGATTTGGTTTAACCATTCTAAATCATACAGAACACAGAACTTCCCGAAACTCGGAAACATCACAAACTAAAGACATAAATCGAGCTGGTTTTCCGTGCAGTTTCATCTTACATCTTGTTAATATCAGTTTCTTTCCCTTAACATAAAGTCCTTTTATTTAATATTTCCACAAATACTTAGGAAAAAAATAAGTTGACCTTAAACACAGTATTCAAACCTCACTGGTGACAAGAAAGTTAAGCCTACATCAGATCCAAAAACTCGCCACAAGTATATGAATTATGCCTTAATAAAGCCTTTTTTTTTTTTTTAAGAAAAAAGAAGAGTGAGAGAAAACCTAACGTGATTCATCCCCAGCCCCAAAAGTCAGAGCTCTGCTCTTAGAGGCCCTTTGAGCTACCAGGCCAACTGGATGGCGCCCGGATTTTACAGATGGTCAAAGGGCATCGAGTTGTATCAAACGCCTAGCACAGAGCGTCATCCAGTAATCGCCTAATAAATAATGGCTAGCGTGATGGGATACCGCCGCTACGGAAGTCGCAGAGGCCACCCAACTTCTGGGCGAGGAACTTCGCACCTGGGCGGCGCGGACCTTCCCCTCCCGGCGTGTGGGCCGCCAGGAGACGGGGGAGACGCGGGAGCAGGGGTTGCGGGGGTGCTGGGGGTGCTGGGACTGCCCCCGCCCAGGCCGGTGGGTGGGTACCTTGTAGCCGCTCCGCGCGCGCGCCGCCTCTCGGCCGGGACTCCACAGCCCCGCAGGAGGACACGGACGAGGCGGAGGAGAAGTCGGAGGAGTCGGAGCCGGGCGAGCCGGGCGCCGAGGGCCCCGACGACGAGCAGCTGGCGTCGTAGGCGCCCGGGGCCGCGGCCGGCGGCGATGCGCCGTAGAAATAGGCCAGGTTCAGCGGGCTGGTCATGAGGCCACCGTCGCCAACCCTGTCCAGCAACCCCTCTCCTCCGCGGCTGTCGTCCAGCAGCTTGTCCACGATCATGCTCCCGGGCTGGGCGCTCGGGGACCCACACTCCTGCGCCACCGGCTCGCTGCGCGCGGCTGCCTCCCGGCTGTGGCTCTGGAGGACTCGCGGACCGAGCGGCGGGAGGATGGCGCGGGCACGGGCGCGGCCGGGGCTGCCCGGCTATTTAACCGGGCTCCGGGGGCGGGGAGAAGGGACCGCCGCCTCGCCTGCCTCCCCCGAGCCCCGCCGGGCCATTGGCGGCGTCGGAGCCACCTCCCGGCCCCTCCTCCGGATGCGTCCCGTTTCCAGTAAAATGTACAGGATGAGGCAATGTGCCCTCCGCCCTCGCCCCGCCCGCCCGGCTCCGCCCCGACTGACCGGTTGTTTTCTCCCCCTTCACCTGGAAACCCCAACCGAGTGCCGCCTCCCGCCTCCCGGACCGCGACCCCCGCTGCCCGCCCCCCCCGCCGGCCGCCCGGGCGCCCTCCGGGAGAAGCCGGGCCAGGCGCGGGGGAAGAAGGCGCGCGGCATGGGGCTCTGGGCCTGCAGAGGGAGACGGGGAGGCGGGAAGGCAGCACTGGGAACAGGTCGGCCTGGTTCCCGGGCAGTGGGAAGTCCTGGAAGCTGCGCGTTCCGCACTCCTCCGCCCGCCCTGGCGCGGCGAGCTTCCCGCCAGCTCCATTTAAGGCGTCTCTGGAAAGTTCCTAAGGGCCTGTCTTCTCCAGCGCCTCAGAGCGGCTTTGTCCTCTTAACTTAGCTTTTGCCAACGTACCTTTTGGCAGGGTCCCAAACTGAGAAAGATGTTGAAGCCATTTTTCTGTCCTCAAATTGTAATCTGACAACTAAATATTTTTTGGCACAGCCGGGGGAATAAAAAACAGTGCCTTAAAAAAAAAAAAAAAAACAGTGCCCTACACCCCTGTATAGTTCAGTACTGGAACAAAGCCATCTTAGCAAAATGATGACTCTACATACATGTATATATCTGTATTTATCTACATATATATCTTTTTCTTTCTGCATAATTTTACATTTTATCTGATAAACAGGAATTTCAATCTTTCCTATCGTAAGTACTTTTTTAAAAGATTTTATTCATTTGAGAGATAGTGAGCAAGGGAGAGAGAGCGAGCAAGGGAGAGAGAGCACCAGTGGGGGGAGGAACAGAGGGAGAGGGAGAGGTAGACTCCCTGCTGAGCAGGGAGCCTGCAGCGGGGTTCCATCCAGGAACCCCAGCCGAAGGCAGACACCCAAATGACTGAGTCACCCACACACCCCTCCTAAGTACTTTTTAATGGATTTACACAATTCTTTATTGAAGTCCTAAATCTTGTTAAAACCATGGCTAGGAGTTTGCAGGAGAAAAAGATGATTATATGTCCCGCCTTTCAAGTATCTTGTAGAAATGATAAGGTAAGCACACAAATGCTATATTAAAAGAAACCGATTATGATTAAACATCATGAAGGATACAAAGCCCAACGATTTCCTAAATAGAAAGACAAAAAGTGGTGGAGGAAAAGAGGTCATGAGGAAAATCTTTGCAAAGGAGGTGTCATTCCCTAAAGGATGGGTGGGATTTCAACCAAAATCATTTAGAGGAAGAAGAACAGCATGGGCAAAAAAATTAGGAAGAGTCAGATAAAACCTTACTTTTAGGGTAGTCAAAGGAAAGACGATAACATAAATGTAGTAAGTCACTTGGTGCCTTTGGGTGGAGCACCTCCAGTGGCCGGCTGAGACACTGGGTCTTTAATAAACACTGAGTGAACATGAAAGAATTTGGGACAGGCAAAATTAACCTGCAAGCAGCTTTGATGGGGTAAGACTGAGGGGCCCAGAGGCCATTAGGAATCACTGCAATAGTCCAGGAGAGAACTGACCTGACCCTGGTACAGAGGCAATGAGGAAGAGAAAGTAAATGGAAAGAAGAGGATGGACAGCATTGCTAAGACAGAATCCACAGGTCTGGACCTGTTGGATATAGGCAGCAATGAGAGGGTCACCGGTCAGGATGTGACGGGGGGGCTGGATGACCAGGTGAACAGGGATGTCAGCTTCAGATCACAAGCAAATCAGCAAAAGCAAAATATTAGGGTTCCAGGAGGGAAGGAAGGAGACAGGAAGACAATGCGCTTAAGTTGTTACTCGGTATTAATAGGTGATAGAAGACCCTGCTGGGAGTTCCAAAGTAAATATTTACTTCTTTCTCAAAACTATTGTATTGCCCCCAAACTTCTTGTTGTCTTTCCCTTCTCCCAGTTTTTGGATTTCGGTAACTTTAAAAGAATAAAAAGGAAACAACTCCTTTGTATCCGCAGGAAAGACTCCAGTAATTGCAGTTCTTCAGAAACCAAAATCACTTAAAGGATGCTCCAAATGAGATGTTGGGCTTTCTCAATAAAATCTATTTGGATATTTTTTTTCTCCCCACTAACATTTTATGTATAATAAAGGCCTTAAATGTCTATTCACACAAATTCATGCACAAATATTTTTTACAAAATTAATTCTCCCCCCAAAATTATTTCTGGTTTCACTTGGTATATAAAAATCCAAGCTCAAAACCATAGCCTCTGAAGAACTCATAAATAAATATGGTCAGTGAAAGACTAATGTTTCAGAATAAACTTTCAAAGTTTTCTATGAAATGTCAAAGCAATCATATTGTTTGAGAAGACCACAAGCCCCAATGCCCAGAAGCCCTCCCGCATACAGTCAAGAATGCTTATTTGTTAACATCACTACAAAAAGAAAATCTAAATATAGTTTGCTTTATGTACATGTTGAAATATAAACTTATTTTGGTCTATAAGGTTAAATGATATAACACTACCATTGTTCTAATCAAATATGATAGAACATTCACTCTCAGAGAGAGAGCTACCATGTTATGAGGACTCTGGAAAAGTCTACTGAGGCAAACGGCCAGCACCCACTGGACAGCTATGTGAGAGAGCCATTCTGAAAGCAGACCTCTACCGTGTCAGGCTTTCAGATGTCTGCACTGACCAACATCTTGACTGTAGTCTTAAGAACAACCTTGAGCCAGAATTCCCCCAAGCCACTTCTAGATTCCTGACGACAGAAACTATATTTAAAAAATGAACCCTTAAGAATTTGCCCAAGGTCACACTGCTCATCACTGGGTGAAGAGATTAAAATCCTCATCTGTCTGACTCTAGAGCCTGATCTTTTGCTTTAAAATGGAGATCAGAAGACTCATTTCCTCAAGGCTCAGCTACTCCATCTACCTATAAAGATAAGAAAAAATATGAAAATGACATATCAGAGAGATCCCTGACTCATGGAAGGAGAAATCTGCTCCAAAACAACTGGAAGAAACTGTAAATAAGAAATAAAATATGATGATGGCTACCTTTCCCTTGGCTTTATAGATGTTAACAATTTACCTTATTGTATCTTATACGATAAAACATTTCTGAATCCTATAGTGCCAGTTAAGTTGTAACACCATTTTGAGGTCAATCATTCAAAGTTTTAAAAAAGGCTCTGATTTTTTTAATGTAGATGTAATAAAATTTTCAAAAGCCAGAAATTATTTGGTACAGCCTTTCAAACTGGAGATGAAAAAAGCCAGTGAAATATCTTACGGGGTAAGTTATTGTTGTACTGCATTGGCTGAAGAAATGAACATCATAGGTTAGAGATTAATGAAGCCTGGGAGAATTTATTTTGCTAAATGGCTTCTAGATGAAAACACAGCAAAAGAAATTATGGCCCTGCCCTTTCCAATAATATAGCAACTCATCAAATTAAGATTCAACTGCACACATGAAAGCTGATCTTGTCTGCAGGACTGAGCTTTTGCCTTAGAAATGGATAGATCTGGGCGCCTGGGTGGCTCAGT